AACGACTAAACAACAACAACAACAATGGTTTTAATGTTTTGTGTGAGTCTCCCAGAGTCCCCCATTGGGGGGAGATGGGCAGGGGAGAAAATAAACAAACAAATAAATAAATAAGGCGGTCTGGCCATTTTAAGGCAGAGTGAATCACCTTCCATGTATCATCGGGACTCGCCAGAGCCAGAATTCCTTCCAAACTCTAAGGACTGGAGGGTCTGGGTGCAGGATTACTGCCTAACCCCCTTTACACTATTAATGGGGTGGAAGGGAAAACCAAAAAGTACCTCATAGCTCATCTTTGGCCAGTGCACATTCAAATTCAGACACAATCAAGTTAGCCAATCAGCTGAAAAGAAGCTTTATTTGGCATTTGTTATAATGAAGGTGAGAAGGATAATGTAACTTGATGATTCACATAAAATAGGGTAATATTGATCCCTGGGGCCAATGACATTAGGGTGTTTGTTCTGTCCATACTGATAATATCTTTTCCTTAAAAAAAGAGACTTCCTGATAATACTGAAAATTCCTGTTCCAGCTGGAACCCTCCTTGAAGGTCAACAGAAGGGCCTTGAGGAACAGCAGGGACGGGGCTGATGGACCCCAGAGGTGCTTTCTCCCTGACACCAATGAGTTAAGAGGGCTTTTGTCCTAAAAGACAGCTTACAAATATTATACATTCATTTTAAAAAATTAAGAATGAATTAAGTAAAGCTGGAGTCCTAGTTTTATTTTGACAGGCCTTGTGACTGGCTATGCCAGGACTGGTCTCTGCAAAGAGTAGATCACTTGATCCATTTGTTGAAGACACTCCCTGGTCCATTTCAAGTTCCCTCTTTGTTGCCCGCAGCTGGCAAAGAGCGGAGGCTGAAAAGTGACAAGGAGCCCCTCTGCAGAATCTTCAGAGATAAAACTGGTGACTTAATTTTATGCTTATTTTTCTAAATAAACTGTGTGATTCTTATTTGCTGAATTCTCTAGTATACACTCTGAATTGGAAATGGGAGTTGATTTTGCCTCTCCATCTTTGTTCAGATACAGGCTTTAAGCCCAGCTTCTGGATGATCAGGCTCAGATTATTCATCACACAACTGATGGCAGAAGATCCCCTTTTGACATATAAAAGAAAGGAGGTAAATCAGCCTGCCCTACTTTCTAAGGCTGGAGGTTTGCCACAGAGAGTTAACACATCTTTTTAGAACAAGGGGTATGGATTGAGCACTTCAACATCTGTTCATCCTGTGAAAGATCTAGTGATTCTTTGCTAAAGATGTTAAGTTTCCGGTAAAGTGCCTTTTAGTGATCCAAACTTGATGTTCACAATCTTATGTGCCACTGATGAATATTGAGTGTGGTTGTCTGGTTCTGTGTTTGAAACATTAATTGGTAAAGTAAGAAGGACTCTGCTTTCCATTGTTCCTATAGCAGACAAGAAGAAGGGGAACCCTGATGGCTTCTCTGCCTACCCTTATGAGCTGCTACTGGGCCATTACTGGGCCTGATGCTTCCCTGCTGCTCCTGGGGGACTTTAACAGATCTAGGTTGAGGTTTTGTAGGACAATTTTTCATTTGTACATCCACTTAAAGGAAACCCTAAAGAAAAGCAAGATCCATGACCAGTCTGGAGAACACGGCTCCCTTTCCTTCTTTTTCCCATTCCCTCCTTGGATTTTTCCACCATTGTTTTTTTAATCTGCTATTTAGGAGAATCCACTACAGTTTTTCATTCTTAAAAGTCATGGAGGGTTGAGGGGGGGAAAGAGAAGACAAAGGAAACTATAAGAAGATCAAGAACTGCCCCATCTTTGCTTAAGCCAAGTTCTGAAGCTGCCCAGTTGTTATCCCACGGCTGGGGAGAATTCAATTTGGGCCATTGAAACAGTTTCTGGTCTACTGTTGCTCTCCAGGGACTCACAATGAACCAGGCAGTGGGGGTGGGGGGTGGGGTGGGTGGAAAAACTATTAAATAAGGCTCCAGTGGCAAATCACTTCTATATTTTTGCAAAAAAAAAAAAAAAAATTCTATCCCAAGAGTTGGGGAAGTCTTCACTGTTCATCTTCTTGTGCTAATGTTCTTTTATTTCTAATCTAAGCAAATCTTTTCCTGAGCTCCAATATCATGCAGTGGCTTCCTTTAAGGAAGAGATTTTGTGGAGGGTGGGAGGGCAGAGAGAGGTAGAAGGCAATTGCAGCACTCCTGTAAATTGGAGCTTAATCTGCATATGAAACTTTTCTAATAATAAAAGCTTTCTGCTTCTCTTAGATTCAGTCCCTGAGTCTTAACTGTTCAGCAGTGGTCCGGGGAAGTGCTTGAACAGCCTTGCTAAGAGGGACCTGTAAACCAACATGTTGCCTCCAGCTGTATAAGGCCAGTTAGTGTCCAATCCACTTATGCTGGATGAGGCCTGAGGACGCACTCAAGGGTTTAGTCACATTCACCCAACTACTGTCATGTTCTTTGCTGGTTATACTGCAGTATCAAAAGCCAAATGCAGAGGGAACAAATGAATTATTTATTACAGTCCAAGACCAGATCAAACAATGGGATAAATTGTTGGGTCCAGGAGACTCTGAACTGCTCCTTGAGAGAAGGGTTGTTGTTGGCCTGTTTACAAGAGATAGCAATGCACTGCTTCTGAAGAAACCCAGCTTGGACACAGAAGATGAAAATCACTCGGACAGCTGGTAAATGTCCAAAAAACCACGGAATCCTTGAAAACTCCAACCCACCACTGAGGGTAGGAATTCAAATTACAGGAGCCCTGAGAGATGGCTGTCCATGCTCCTTGAATCATCCAGGGAAAGGAAGTCCTCTGCTCCTTGGAATAATTGGTTCCACCATTGAACTGCTCTTACCATTCAGACGTTTTTTCTGACACTTTGGTCAGATTCTGCCTTCCTGCAACTGAAACCCATTAGTCTGCTTCCTGAGGTGATAGAGAACAGGTCCTGACCTTCTTTTAGGTACCTGAACAATGCTATCATATTCCCCTCTAGCTTTCTGAAAGTTGAATCTAGCTAGCTCCTGCCATTTTCTAATCCAGCTTCTAATCACCTGATCAGCCTAACTGTCCTTTTCTGATCCTGTTTGGATTCTCCTTAAAAGTGGTGCCCAAAATGAACAGAGGATTCAATGTGGAAATCTGACCAATGCACAATAAAGTGGAAAATCACTTCCTATGAATTAATAACTGTGTTTCTGTTGACGATTTGCCTTTTTTGTGGCCACGTTGCACTGCTAACTTATACTTGGTTTGCAGTCAGCTAGTAGTCTAAGTTCTTTTTTTGCAAGTAGGATTGCCACTTAGGTATTCCCATCTTTTTTTATTATTATTATTTTTGGGGCACATTGTCACCTCCAAACCAGGGCTTATACAGTGAACCCATCAATCCAGAGCATGGCTCTGAGGACATTCTTGAATTAGTCCTTTTGTTCTTGGGACTCATTTCAGAGAGGCCCATCAAGGGCTCTGTTGACATTGCAAGGAGGCTGGGCATGTTAGCCAGAAAAACACTGCCTGGAAAACAAGGGAGGGTGTTCTAAAGCCACATGTGGGAAGTCAACTGGCCCTCATAACACCAGCCATAATGGAAGGCTCCAAGGACAAAGCCTTGGCAAGTGCACACACAGGAGCATCACTGTGAACCTAGGGAAGAACATGAAGGCCCCAGGGAGAGGGAACCAGCCAGTTCAGACCTCGCATGTTTCCTGTATTTCCTGAGAGCTTGTAGAGAGCAGGGAAAGATGAGATCCACAGGCTGGCCTTCCAATCCATGTTCCTGCTTTTGGAAATGGGCCCAACAGTCACTGAGAGGACATCTGTAGGCAATGATGGTGGGATTGACCATCACTGAGGGGACAGAGCCTCAGAGCTTAGATCCCATTACAAGAAGCCTTTGGGAACCCTCTCTGGGAGCCTCGGGGATTTGGTAATCAATTATGATTCCTTCTGGATTTATACAGAGTATGACAATATAGATCAGCAAAACACCAAGGGCGGGGGGATTTCTAAGAGCTATGTTCATTAAAGATTTAACATTAGGAGTTACAATGAACTATTCCAGTGGATACAGAAAGCTCTGGTGATAAACCAAGGGGGAAAGTAAAGTGGTGTGGTCCCGTTTAATTACGTTTGGTGGGCAGTTCTGCAAACAGGTGCCTGATGAGAAATGGGAGGTAGGAGGCAATTGGATCTGAGCATTTTTTAGTGTGAACCCCCCCAAAAAGAGGACAAAAGGACAGTTTAAAAAAGGGAAGAAGATGGTGATCAGAAGGAGAGGGTAAAAGGCCCTAAACAAAGGCTGCAGATGTGGGAATTATAATTCATGTAAGTTCTTAAAGAAAGAGAACCCAGTGTTGAGTGACATTTATTACAAGTAAAAAAGTATTCCTTTTAAAATGAAGAAACTCTTAACGTTAATTTCCATTAAGTGAATAACTTTACTGTTAAATTCAATTCTGCTATTTTCATCCCACTTATCTGAGCTATTAAGGTTTTTAAATTTTACTTCTCTCTTCTAGGATATTGGTTATCCCACCCTATTTGTGCCACCTGCAAATTTGTTAAGGATCCCTGCATTTCTTCACCTGAATCATTATTATAAAATACTGAAGAACAAAGGATCCAGGACTCAATATCTTAGTTGAATATCATTCTCTGGCAGATTTTTAGCCAATTATATATCAGCTTAATTTTCATCCCATCCAACTCACACTTAACTAGTCTGCCAATCAGAATGTCATGGACTAGTTTGTCAGACTGTACTGAAATCAAGATATATTACATCTGCAGCATTTCCACCATCTACTAAGAAAGGTCATCCAATTAAAAAAACTAGATAAGGTTCATTTGGCAAGCCCATGCAGATTTCTTGTAATTACCACATTGTTTTCAAGGTGCTTATAGGTCAGTCTCATAATCTGCTTCTAGAATCTTCCCAAATATTGACGTCAGATCTGTAGCTCCCCATAGATTTCTTTTCCCATCTTCTGAAGAAAGGACATTTGCTCTCTTTCACTTCACCTAGTTTCCAGGTTTTCTCAAATATAATACATAATGTTTCTCCCAGATCATAAGCTAGTTCATTTTCTGTAGACTGAAACTCAAACAGATATTCCTTGACTATCTCAGGCTTCGATTCTGCCCCTTCATCCTGCTTTTCCCAAATTCCTAGTGGAATACACTTATCTCCTTGTTGGAGAAAACTGAGGCAAAATAGGATTTGGGTACCTCTGTCTTTTCTTTGTTAGCTCTTAGCATTTCATCATCTGCATTAAGCAGCTAATATTCTATTATTAAGAGGGAAGGAACGTGGTTGGTGGTTATCTTGGATGGTGCAGCCACTCAACCCTGGCATTCTTTTGGAGAGCCTTCCTGGCTAGGAAGGTGTGACCCTGTATTTCAGTTGTGGTGCTACTACTTGCACAACTAATTCCAGAAGGTAGCGCTGGGAGATGGCTGTTTTCCCTTTGGCTATTCTGCTGTGGGTTCCCTCCTGGATCTAACTCTTTAGTTACTGGGGCAGGTGATTTAGGGATAGGGTTGAGGAGTCACAATATGCAGAGAACACCCTGTTTACTTCTCTTCTTCAGCGAATGCAAGTAATACCACTGATGTTCTTAATCCCTAAAGAGTGTTAATGAGGTAATGGCTAATAAACTGAGACTAGATCTAGTCTCAGAGATCCTGTCGGTGGGTGACTTCCCTGTCCAGCAAAGAAGTGCTTTGCTGTTTTGAAGGAGGCTGCATTTCCCCTAGGGAAACAGCCAAAAGTTTTGCGTTACATGACACAGTTCTTCTGAGCTTGACAATTCACATTCCTTTGGTGTGGGCACAGCTCCTGTTAAACCATAACCTTGTTAATCTGCAGAGAATCCCTTCCTGGTGGTGCAGTTCTGTATTTTTTGCATATTTACCTGAGAGGTATACGGATAGCAATAATCCGATCGATGGCGATTGCTAGGAGGCTGAAGATGGAACTCTGGGTCAACACCAGGACAAAGCAGGCAATGAAGAGGCAGCCATAAAAGAAGGCACAGAAGCCGGTGCTGATAGTGATGGCAAAGGGGATTGCCAGGACCCCCACTGCAATGTCAGCCGCTGCCAGGGAAGCCACAAAGTAATTGGTGACGTTCTGCAGATTGCTGTTGAGATAGACTGCCCAACAGACCAAGATGTTCCCCAAGATGGCCAGAAGTGCAATGACCAGTTCAAAGACAATGTAGACTACATCGGCAAGGAAGTCTTCGTTCCCAGGCACTAGCATGGTGAGGATGGCTCAAGAGGGTGCCAAGGAATCCTTGTGTCCATAGCTGCAGTGCAGCAGGTGGACACGTCTCTTTCCACCTGACCCTGGTCACTTCAGGCTGCTACGGCAGAGAAGGCACACCGGCCTTCAGGAGGCCAAGGCTTGGCCAAGCTCCAGGCAGTGCAGAAAACACAGCCTCCAGCACTTAGCCGATTCATTGTCCAGACGGCCGCTGAACTGCCTGTTTCAGCACAAAACTCCCTGGGTAATTTCTTGCCTTCACGACCACCCTTCCTCCAGGAAAACCAGCTCTTTACTTTTCCTTCCAGAGTGCCACATTTTGAGAGGCTGAGGATATTCCAAGGGCCATTCTGTGCCTGGTTGCCTTTAAAAGGGGGAGGAGGAAGGGGACAAACAGATGTTTAGATCGTTCAGTGCAAGCAAGATGCCATCCCCAACTGGGCAGCACCCACTCAAGCCATCCTGAACTTCCAAGCTGATAAAGCTCTTTATTTAGTGTACCCCACCTCTCATTCTGGAGCTCAGGTAGCCCTCCCTCCACCCATTTTTCCCCGCAATACCACCCTGTGAGGAAAGGTGGGATGAGAGAAGGGGACTTGGGCAGGGGGTCTCCCCATTCCTAGACCAGCACCTGGGTCACTACATGGCTGTGTTTCTCCAACCCTTGGGCCCCAAAGTGGAGCGTCTTGATCCCCTTTTCTCCTTACTCTATATCAGTGATTCTTAAACTGTCTGACGCAGTCTCGAATAAAGTCATTGCCCCCACAAAAAAAGCAGGCTCTGTTGTTCTACATAAGCATCATGGTGGGACTGCTGCCCCACCACAGCAGTCCCAACATGGATCCTCAACTCACAAACAAGCAATTGCAAATTGTTCCATTACCCTCAGGAGGTGCCCAAATTACTGCCTTGGGGGTAACTGCCCCCATGTAAGAAGCCCTGCTTTATATGGCAATGGACTGTGAGGCTGCAAAGCAGTCTGACAGCCTCCAAAATCATGTTTGCCTTGCAGGAAGCCTCTGGAATCCATGCAAAATAGAAAACAGCAACGCTGCACCCCAAAGCTTTGTCTGGAAGCAACCCCACTGGTTTAGGAAACTCTGCTCCCATCATCTGAAGGGTTGAGATGTCCTTCAGAAGTGGCCAGTGGGCTGGACCTCCTTGTAGCCATATTTGTGAGCATCTATAACATACTTTCAGAGTTGACTTGGGGAGACTTCTGGAGCTACCCTTCTGTCAGAAGATTCATACTTTAAAAAACAAAGTGTGCACATTAAACATGTGTTTTATATACATAATTTATGCATACTTGCTCTGCCAAGTTTCTGATTTGCCTAATTTATTCTGATAGGAAATGACTAGAACTTTTGGATAGTACTGAACCCCCATTCTAAGTGTGAGAATCTTGTCCAGGGACACACACACATGCATGCGCGCACCCACGCACACCATCTAGAAACTTGCTCCTTTGAAAGCAAACAATAAGTTGCCCAGGAACCTGGATCCTGCACCCAGGACCAATTTCTTCCTGGCTGGGGGAAGGATTCCATCAGATTCAGCTCCCTGTTCCAGTGAGGTATAAATCTCCCTGTTCAAGTCATATTTCCTCAGGAGTTATTTATAAAAAGGGAGGCATGAGAGAAGGACGCAAAGCTGAAAAGCAGCTTCCAAGCTCCCCCCAGCAATCCTTTCTTATAGCGGATTCCTGATCTAGCCAGCATTTGGTCGGAGTCAAGAGATTCCCTCAGTTGTTGCTCTGGGAAGACAGCATCTTTCCTCGTGGTCAGCTCAGCCTACCTCACCCAGGGATGGTGCTGGGGAAAGTTGGAGGAGGAGTACGATGCTCTGGAGGAGAGTTAAGTTATTCAATCTGATGAATGAATAACTGAATTAGTGTTGTTGAGACTACTTTATTATCTGGTTATCAGCAGAGGCCCCAGTAGTAATTTGTAACATTTTTAGCCGTAGGATGTAATAATATAGTAAAGATGGATACTGTCCATGAGAGCATCAGAGGACACCTCCCACAGAGGTTGCCTTCTTCACCGATTGTCTGTCCACAAGGAGATGCACTTGTCTACTTCAAACTTGGTTTTGTGGTGGCCCACTATGGAACAGCAACCATGATCCCATGGCTGACTCAGATCCCTGCACTTCACATTGCTCTTGTTCATAGGTGATTTCAACAGGAAGACATCAGGCTGACCAAAAACCAGACCAGACCCTGGAATTATGATGCTCTGTTCACAGGCTTACACCTCATTTGCTCCAACAGAAAACCTATTACGGGCAAGGGACTGCATCAAACTACAGAGGAGCTTATTTTGACCAATGGTGTCCTTACAGCAGTGTTTCTCATCCTTGCCAACTTTAAGATGTGTGGACTTCAACTCCTAGAATTCCCCAGTCAGCATGCTGGCTGGGGAATTCTGGAAGTTGAAGTCCACACATCTTGAAGTTGGCAAGGATGAGAAACACTGCCTTACAGATTCCAAGGCTTGTTCTCCACTAAGTTTCCCATCTCCTGAAGAAGCCTGTGCCATTACCATTAGGAATGTTTTCCTGGTGGGCAAACAAAACCTGCTTCCTTTTCCTCTTGCTTCTTATCCTAACTTTAGGAACAACTCTAAACAATTCTGCCTCTTCAGAAACTTGGAGGACAGTTATCTTGTCACCCCGCTGACTTCTCTCCTGACACCCAACGCTTCCAACTCTTCTTTGTATTTCCTTCCAAGCCCCATATCTCTTCTGATCATGGTCCAACTGGTCAACAGCCTTCCAAAAACGCAGTGCCCAAAACCAGACCCCAAATTCTAGATGTCATCTGATCAATGGAAAGTAGAGAGGATGCATATCCTAAATCTGGATGCCGCCCTAGGGTCTATATGGCTTGGGAGCAATACCTATAAACTTGTATCTTGGACCAGGGGTTGATTGCTAAGAGGACAGGAAATAGCAATGTAGTGTGGGAGCAAATAGGAAACGTGACTTTGGGCTGCATTAACACAGACACGGTTTCTACTACTTTCCATCAAAAGTAGTTCTCCTTTATTCTGCTTTACCCCAAGTCCCATGTCGAGTTCTGGGCACCACATTTTAAGGATTCAAATGAAGAGAAAGAAAAAAGCCACAAGGGGGATCAGGGCCTAGCAACCATGAATTGCTGGGACAGCTTAATTCTGAGCATTTAAACGCCACGCATTCTGACCAAGGAAGGATATGGCAGCTCTCTTCACACACCTGGAAAGATAGCCAGAACCTCTTCCTTATCTTTCCAGAGGCAGGATATTTTAAGAAAGGGAAGATGGATCGGATGTCACTGGAGGTGCCGAAGTGGAGGTTCATCAGCCAACTCTGCCATGCTTTACATGGGTTCCTCGCGAGCAGCAGGAGAAGACCGATCCTGTGGCTTTGATGGCCCCTTTCAACTCTGCGATTCTGCAAGTCTGTTAAAACCTCTTTCAGAAGGAACCACACCTTTTGACAGCATCCTCCAAATTATTCTACAGATGCCTCTAAAATAGTTTCTTAAGGAAAGTTATATTGCTTTCTCACTATCTTAAGTTTCCCTCTCCAGTGTCTACCCTGCCTTTTTAAAGCTAGACTGACTTTTTTTACAAATCAAACGAATGAAGCTTCATGCAGCAGAGGGAGGGGCATTTCCCGATGACCAAGGGCTCACCTGCATAACCTGGGTGGTGGAGGAGGGGACTTATGGTCAGTCCTCTTGGCACCCCCCCCCCCCCCAGTGACTGGAGAGCTAACAGAGAGAGGGAAACGGGGGAGAGGAGCTCTTTAGCCCTCAACTTACTGCAGGGAGGTGAAGCCACCGTGAGGTGGGTGGGAGAGGCATTTTACATGCACGTCCAGCATCT